GAAGTCACGTATCCTGCCAACAGCCACTTCAGTGAGCTTGGGAATAGATTCTCCGTTCCAAATAAGACTTGTGTTGATTGTGGCTGCAGCTCACAAGAGCCCCTGACCAAGAGGCACCTAACTAAATCCTCCCCAGATTCCTGATCCACAGAACCTATGAGACAATAAAGACTTGTTGTTTGGTGGTAATTTGTTATTCAGCAATAGATAACTAATACAGAAGGTCCAGTACTTGCCTAACTAATATGAGTTTATAAACTGAAATCTAATCTCATTTGTTTTATTTTGTAAACATTTTAGAAAATCATAGGACTGAGTGTCTCTCTCTCTCTCTCTCGGAATAAACAACTATAATTACAATTTAAACAGGATATTGTAGAGATCCATCATAATGATTAACACTAATTAGAACTAACAGACGTCTTTGTGAAAGTCAGCCTTCTCTTTACAATAAACACTTGTCTCTTGATATTGTATTTCTTATGAACATGCTGTGTGTGTGTGTGTGTGTGTGTGTCAGTGTGTATGTGACAGTACTGTGGTCAGTTTAATGTTTGAGCAGGCTTTCATTACTAGTGAAGAAATAGAGGGATGAGGTATTTATATGCATTACAAAAATGGATTCACATTAAAATTAGGGATAAAAGTCTTTTTGCCCTTGACATTTATGTATACTGTATACAGATTTATAAAAATCTGACTTGCTATTTTCAGGCTACAATAACAAAATTTGAACATTACTTTGAGTCTCCTTTTATGGAAGAAAAATCTCATTATGGCTCTAATTTTTAAGTATTTGACAAGCAATTATCTTAACAAATGGTTTCAGACAGTTTTGGCTTTCCCAGAGATTGAAAGGTGAAAATATTCATTTCTTTTGATGGCAACAAAGTATTTGTTATTATTATCCCAAGTATGATGAACACTGTGTGATGGATTTTTATAAATCATGTCACCTTAAAAATTAACTGAAAATTATTACAATAAAGGAGGAAAACATTCTTTGGAAATGGTGTTTCAAAAGGCAATAAAATTAGTCAATTAACATGCAGTTTTTTTCTTAAAATGTTTTGATCTGTCCATCTTTAGAATGGTTTCTTTGTTTATGGGCTTTGAGGCCCTTTCTTAGCACCAGGAAGAAGGTATCTACTGGATACCTTCACCATGTACTATTAAGTGCAAAACAAACAAACAAATAGGAGACAGACTCCTTCAAGCACAAGAAGCATACAATTGAGTTGAGAATATCAAATATGCCCCTGAAATGGTCAAAGTACACACTTATTGAGTTAAAGATATGTCCAACTGAACATGTACAGGTTACTATTGAATTTTGAAAAATTGTGCTTAATTATACAGGGTTATCAACTCATGCAAAATATGATTCTTTACTACAGTGTTTCTTTGCATATTTATTCTTGCCTGATCCCTTTGCCTAGAATGTCCTGCCACTCTATTTTCACCTGATGTTATTTTACCTTTCATTTAAGGTCCAATTGAAAAGTGCCCGATTTCATGAATACTTGGCTTATTCCATCCTATTTTATCTGTTACACTGGAGTCTACAGCCCACCCAGTCTTTTTCACTAGAATTTCATGAGTTATGCTTATTATTCCAACTCTGATTACTTGTCTTCTGTCTTCTTTGCTATCTATTCTTCTATACTTTTCATAATGATACCTTGAAGTCATTCCCTTGAGATTTAATCCCTCGTAATCACCCCTTACTTGAGCTGCAGCTCCATTTCTTGAGGTGATTCCTGGACATACCCACTTTGGATGTTGCTATTGCCTCAGACTCAACAGGTACAACCTAGACAATTCTTCATCCCTATCATCTTCCCTAACCCCAATTTCCTTACTGAAATCTACAGCATACCATGTCTTCTGAGCCTCCAGGGCTCCAAATGGTGACATCTTTTTTGAATCAATCTCTTCTTTTTTACATATATACTGTCAAGCAGAACAGAGCTTAGTTTAAGTCTTATGTCTTCCATGAAGCCTGTCCTCCCTGCTTCAAGGTCTGGAGGTTTCCACACTCCAAATTCAGCTGTCCTACTCAATTATCTCTTAATTGCGACTGTGAGCTAAAATAAATGAAATCTTCTTGTTATTCACTTGAAATGGTTCTCATTTTCTTCTCTTCCTACCCTTCAACTCCTCTCTTCATCTTCTATCCTTATCTCCTCTCACCTAAGTTAGAGCTGTTGTCCCCTTAGGTGCCCTCCCCTCAACATAGTGCACTTGTTTACCCTGTCTCAATGCTTATGCTCACAGAGATTCTTTCTCCTCCTCCTCCTCTCCTTTGCTTAGCTAAGTCTTCCTTGTCTTCAAAGAATGGGGTCAGTGCTTACCTCTACCAGAAAATCTTCCTGTATCTTACATCCCCACGGAAGATTCTCTTCTCTGGATGGGGGGGGGTGTGTTGGGTATTTTATGGTCAACTTTCTTTTCATCACTGTGACCAAATACCTGACATAAACCACTTGAAAGGAGGCAAAATTTATTTTGGCTCACAGTTTCAGAGGTTTTACTCCATGGTCAGCTGGTTCCATTGCTTTTAGGCCCATGATAAGGCAGAAACATCATGGCAGAAGGGTCAGACAGAAGAAAGCTGCTCATCTCCTGGCAACCAGGAAGCAGAGAGAAAGGGAAAGAACTCAAGAAGAAGGGACCAGAAACCAGATATAGTCCTCAAGGTCGTGCCCCCACTTCCTTCAACTAGATCTCACCTCCTGTTTCCATCATCTTCCAATAATGCCATCAAATTATGATCTCATCAATGGATCCAGCCACTTGATAAGAGATGCAGTTGCTCTCTAACAAGCCCATCAGCTAGCAACCAAGTCTTTAGCATGTGAATTTTGGGGGATATTTCAAAATTTATGCAACCCTCATTAGCCACTTAACGAAAGGAAATTGTGCATTTGTAAGAAGAACAGCTTTGTGGATTACCTCAGAGCACTTGTTAAATTTTATATATTGTTTTTTATGAACTGCCTTTAAATAATTTCAAAGTCTATGAACTAGAATAATAAATACTCACTAATTTTCTGGAAAAAATGTAAACCATAATGAATATAAAAGTGAAAGTAGACTTTGTATTGGGATAAACCGGATCTGTGTACCAGTGATGCTAATTTACTAACCACACAAGCAAGCTCAGTTTCTCTGGGCTTCAGACTCCTCATCTATAAAACAGGGAAAATCATCTTTCCTTTACGGAGCTATTGTGAAGCCTAAATGAGATGATATGAATAATATGTCTGGCACACGGTAAGTATGATCATTACCAAGTTTGCTTTGGGTCTCTTTTGAGTCTGACACACTACACACACCCAATGGATGTCATTGTGAAGATTGCCCCTTGCAGTTGTGAAATGCTCAGCTAGCACACAGTGGGCCTAATATGTTTAACATTGATTATTTAACAAGTTGCTTGTGTGTGTTTTCATGTTTAAGGATCTATAAGCTTCTGAGGAGAGAATGGGGCAAGGAAGTGCTCCTTGTCTGTACATAACTCATCTTTGGCTGCTTCTCTGGCTCCATTGCTCATAGCCATCATCTGTCCCTTCACCCTGCCTCCATTGTATTGGATTAGACTACTTGCAGTTTTACCTATGACCTCAGCCCAGGTCCTCCATGGCTTTGTATAGGCCCATTCTCTGGACTAGCTTGGTTGGAATAGCTTCTAGCCCCTCAGGCATTTTTACTTGTCCACCCCACTCCCATTAGACTGTGTTAGTCTTGTTTGCCATTGCATCCTTGGCTTCTATCATAGTGCCCGGCACATAGGACAAATGTAATAAACATTTGTTGCATGAATACACTGCTTCCAAGATCATCTGGTTTTCCTCAAGGAGGAGCAAGGGATCTTTAAGTGAATCGCTATGTTTCTTCACTCATGACTGTGTTTGTCATATTTACTCATCAATTAAAACACTTTGCCAATATTAACATGTATAAACACTGCACTAAAACAGTGTCCACTTCATTAAACACTAATTCTTATTGACAAACAAAATTGTATAAATTTATGGTGTACACCATGATGCTTTGAAATAGTCTGCTTCTCAATAGGTGTGTGGCCTTCTTAATCACTCTATGCTTCAGTTTTCTGATTTGAAAATGGGTGTGGTAAGACTATTCATAGGGCTGTGGAGAGGGTTAAATAAAATGCATCTACTTTCTGGATTGTTTTCTCTGCAGACCATCCCAGGACTGGCTCCTTCTTCATACTCATGATTCAGTTCAAGTCATGAGTCCTCAGAGGCTCCTTACTCTGCTTCCCGCATGTCTCTTTGTTGCAAGTTCTTCATAGAATTGTCTATCATCTGACTTTATCATTGTTCACTTACTTATCTGCCCATCAGCTAGCTGTGTGATCTCAATTTCTCTGAGTCCTTTTGTGCTTACTGCCACATCCTCAATGCCTAGAGCCATGCCTGGTACGTAGTAGCACTGAATAGTAAGTATTTGTTGAACAATTCACTTACTCTCATTCCCCCAAGCCTTTGAGAAAGCTAATGGACAGCCAAACTTCAGTGAAAAATTTCTAATCATAGATACTGGGAGGAGGGGGGACTTCCGTCCAAAGTATATCAATCTGTGACCAAAGTATAAGATTCAGCTCTTAGTCACAGGAATCTACCATCTAGAGCTGGTGGGATGAGACTTGTATGGTCCTTGGGACCACTGGTGGTTTTAAAATCACTAGTGCAACTTATGAAAAGCAATACAGCTACAGATCAAACTAAGAAAGCAAGAAGCTAAGTTCCAAGTTAGTGGTGCTGAGAATAAGTGAAATGGGGATAGAACCAGAGAGATGCAGATGAAGAAGGCTTTCTTAGAGGACCATAAAGAAGACATAAGTCATTCTAGAGAAAAGAGTCCAGGCACTAATGTTTGCAAACTATTTAGAATAGAGTTTGACCATAGTTAAAGCTATATATAGGCTTATTAAATAAAAACACTCAACTGATATTTTTATGCCATCACAATTTTATATTGTTTCTTTAAAAAGATGTAAAATTTTTTTAAAAGGTGTAATCATAAAGTTTCCATGAGTTGCTCTTTCTCAAAATTTCCCTCAGAGAGGGCCATAATGGGACTTACTTTTCTGAAATTAGAATATACTACATGTTAACTCGAGAAACATCTTCAGGAAACTCAGGCAACCCTTGGGGATCACATGAGTTCAGTCAGATCATCCGAGTGAAGACACTAATCCTCAGAAATAGAAGAAAAATAAGATGACTGCACAGGACAAGCCTCCTGAGCCTCTGCTTGGCGATGAGGGGCCTGAACATGCTCTTCACTGAAGACACAAAATCTACAATCGCAGTGGGCTCTTTGGCTGGGCAGTGACAAGCTGGGCTCTGGGTAGCGCATCTCACCATTATGGGCTGAGGCTGCACTCTGGCTGGCTACTCGCCTGGAGTGGGACACTGTGAGCCAAGGGGAATGTCGGGGGGTAGTACACGACACTGGGATCACATACTTAGATGATGTGTCTTTAGAAGCGTAGTGTAGCTCGGTGCTGTAGATGATCATGTCCGGAGAGACGGCCTTGACTCTGATGCCACATTCAGTAACGCGGTAGGTGAACTGGTAGATGTGTGGCTGAACATAGTTTGGAGGGCAACCCAGGCCCAAGTGCAGCTCATAAAAGTGTACATACACATCATCATTCCACATGAAGGGGTGTACTGTGACCATAAACCAGTCCAGGGAGCACAGCACAGTCACTGGAATTTCTGCACAACAGGCTGAAAACATGATGGTGAGGAAGAGCATCTCTCTTACCAACTTGAAAGCTTTCATCCTTGCAGACAATGTGGTAAAACCCCACAGGAACCAGGAAGCTGCCCAGTGAGGATTTCTACAACAGACAAAAAACACAAGGGGAAAGTCATCTGAAATCCGAGCGAAAGTTCAAATATGATCCTTTTTAAGTAAAAGGCTGTTTCTAAAGCATTAAGAAGAAGAAACAATTCATGTGAGATACAACTGAATTTTAATTTTATTGTTGGAATGTACATGTGTATTGGTTATTGGTGAGTACAGTGGACTTTTTTTTTTTTTTTTTGCAGTGCTGGGGATGGAACTCAGGGCCTCTCCCTTGCTAGGCAAGTGTTGTGCCACTGGGCTACACCCCTAAGCCCACATTGGCTTCTGCAAGGGACTTTGCCATGTTGTTTGGTCTAAAATAACTATCCTTCCTCGTGTGTATAATGAGACACTACATTGATCAGAACGGCATACTTTTGTGTGTAATCCCAACATGAGACCAAAACAAAACAGTTTTTGTGTCAAACATTAAATAAAGAGAGTGGAGATATAGTTTAATTCAAATTGGCAACACTGTCCACCTTAAGGGCTGCGATGTCCTCTCATAGATCATAATAACGAACACCTCCTTATTGCCTTGTTTGTTAGCAACAGATTTAATTAAACAAAAACATAAGAAGAAGTTGTAGTTTATCCCTGACAACCACATATTGAGGTTTTGGTGAGTGTCTCATGTAAAAGTGATCAAACAAGTGCTTCATGAACCCCAGCAGTACCAGCATAAGTCATCACGACCAAAAGATTACCTGACACCTTCATGGGGACACCTTGTAAAGTGGAGAAACTGCAGAAACATAAAAACATGCTGGTTTTCAATGTTATGCCTTTCAATGCATATTACACACTAAAACTACTTAAAAGGGAGTATGGGGCACTTTACACATTGAAAAATTATCTCCTAAAATATTTTGCTTTAGAGTCTTCTGTTCACTAGCTTTTTCTTTTCTTTTTCAGTAGGAAGCTCTGGTACCACTCCATAGTATTGTTGCCTTTGCCATCTTTTAAAGTGGCAGGCATTTTAAAGGTAGAAATGACTTGAGTCAAGTTGAAAAGGGCTAAAATTTAGAAGGAAGTGTGTACGCAAAGTGCAGAGTTCACTTCTGTTTCCATCCCAGATAAGTGACCCATATATAATGAATTCATTCCTTCAATATTTATTTAATGCCTGCTATGTGCAAAGCACTGGGCTAAAAGATCATCCCAAGATGCTTCTTTCTTCCTCTTTCCCCAGTTGCAAAATGCAGCTCTTCTCTTTCTTTGCTACTGATGAATTTGCTTCATTCTTTAATGGAAACCATGGCATAAAGGCCCCCTAGAAAAGTGCAGTGGCCTGGATGGAATGCTTTGTTTCTGACTGGGACCGTCTGCTGTTACTATCTTCCTCTCTCCTGAACGACTCCCCACTCTCTCCGGGGTGTTGGGGTATAAAGAGAAGCCAAAGGGGTTTGCTGGGCTCCTTCCTTTCCCCCTTTGTCCATTCTGAAATATTTCTCCTATGGCTGCCTTTTTTTTTCTTTTTTCTTTTCACAGAGCAAAAGAAACAGCAGCAATGCAAGCAAAAAACCTATCCCCTTACCTCTTGCCCTCCCAGAAAAACAAAACAAACACAATAATAACCAAAATAAGGAAGTGCTGATGTGGGCTCATCCTAGAAGACCACTTGCTCCAAAAGAATGAGTGATTTTTGCTGAGAATCTTTTGGGAAGTGGAGAAAATCACTCATCATACCCTCGCTACTGCACTATGGTCTCAGTCCCCTTCTTACTCCTTTCCTTGGTCTGTCCTTTCCTTTGTTTCATGGCTTCAGCCTATAGATCCTGAACAAAAACCTTCCTTTTAAATAGTTCCTGGAATAATAAGGAAACAATTCTTTCATTCTGTTTTTGTTGTTCAAACCCCAAAACAGACACCCAAATGTAATGCTTTTCTTGTCCTGAGAATGAAGCCATCCATTTCCTCTCTTTCCCTTGAGCATCTTTCCTATACTCTTCTGTCTTCCCCTCCCTCTCTCAGATGATTCAAATAGAGTTATAAAATGCCTGGATTCTCTGAGAAACAAGACAGCTCCCAAGCAATCACTGCAGACTACCTTCCCTCCCCACACCCACTTCTTGAATCCATGACCTCATTGAGTTTGGGGATTCATTTAGTACAAATCTCCAAACTTGGACAAGACAGAATCTGTTTTCTCTGATTTTCTTAAAGCCAGGAACAAATTGCCATAAGATGCGAGCAATAAGCGAAGATGCCTATGCATGGGACAGCATACCTTTGGGCTCAGAAAAAGCTTTAAAAGGAAGTCGGCTGGACTTAAGTTTAAGGCTTTGCGACTCTGAGGTGAGCGGGAGGAACCTGGAGATTAGGAGGAGAGCAGAATGTACTTGCTATTGAGCTTGCTAATGTTTAACTCAATGCCACACTTTGGGGCTGGCTCCCTTTTGCTGAGTACAGGTCCTCAGAAAAGGGCAGCCTCCCTTCCCCTGCTGCCTGTAATTCCCAGGGAAGGAAGGGGAGAGTGGTGAATGTGTGTGTGTGTGTGTATGTGTGTGTGTGTGTGAGAGAGAGAGAGTGTGTGTGTGTGAGGATGATTATAAGTCACAACACAGTGTGAATTCATCACATCAGCTGGTTTTTCTAATGCCTAACTGAGATGTGCTGGCAGGATGGGATCTGGAGAAGGGAGAGAGAAAATGGGCCCTGGTTGCAGGAGGCAGAGGCAAAAGAAGGCCTAGGGCAGTGGTGATGGGGTGGGCCTATCACAGCCGGCTGCTTGTCATCATTTGAAAGCTCTAAAAGGTTCACCATCACTGTCCCAGGGGCTGGAGATGGGTAGTGGAGGGTTGTGAGAGGTACCAAACTGAAGGTACTTTTAGTCTTACTTTGGATTGTGCACAGTGGCCTGGGGGCTGTGGACAGAATTCTAGTTAAGGCCTTCAGAAATCTTCAGAGGGAGAGTTGGGCACTGAGGAAAAGATAATGCAAACAAAGACAGGTATGCTCACCTTGGGACTACTGTCCAGCTTCTCGCTAGGAGACTGGGCTGTTAGAAAGCAGGTCTCAGGGTTTGCATCACCAGAGCCTCGTTTCGACTTGATTGCAAATTCTCTCTGCAATGAGCTGAGATGCGTTTGTCTAACCAAGCAGGGCTTAACTATTGGTACACACTGTCCTGAACCAAGCTATAGAGAGGCCTGGCAAACCCCAGGCTGCTCATAACACCTGGGTGCAAAATGTTTACTTTCCTTGCAGCTAGAGAGTACAAGTAGATTTCTGTTTTTCTCGATGTGCTTTATGCATATACATTTCTCATTAGCTTCTTTAACAAGGTTTTTCTTCCTTTTTCCAAGAACTCTCTAATAAGCCTAATTTCTAATAAATTGATATTTTAAAAATCATGAACTGCTTCATTTTGAATATAAACTTTATTGCTTGTCCCCCCTGTAATCAGAGCTGTTCTTTTAATCAAGTTCAGAAGAATGCAAGTGTGGGTGTTTAACTGATACCTGTGTCAGTCCCAGAGAATGATACAATTAGATTAGTAATACCTGTGAAACCAAAGACAACCTACTTTTCTTCTCACATTTAGGAATGTTGTGCATCGGCACAAAAACCAGATGAACAAACAAGGAAAGAAGAGCTGTATGTAACTCTCATTCACCTTTTCCAAAAGAGCTGCTTATAAAGTTCAACACTGGTGTTTTTTTTTTTTATATTGACTAATAATTACCTCGGTATCCATGGGGATGGGTTCCAGGAACTCTGAGGATACCAAAATCCATGGATGCTCAAGTCCTTTATGTAAAATGGCATAGTATTTACATATAACCTATACAATCCTCCCACATACTTTAAATCATTACTAGATTTCTTTGAACTCCTAATGCAATGTAAATGATTGTTATGCTGCATTGCTCAGGAGCTGGGCGCATGACTAATCTCAGCACTCTGGGAGGCTGAGGCAGGAGGATCACAAGTTTGACCCCAATCTGGGCAGTTTAGTGACTTAGTGAGACTCTGTTTCAAAATAAAAGAGGCTGAGGATGTAGCTCAGAGTAATGCTGGTGTTCAGTGCCCCATACCACACAAAACGTACTGTATTGTTTAGGGAGTAATGACAAGGGGAAACATCTGTACATGCTCTGTACAGATAAGATGTTTCTGTGTATTTCTGATCTGAAAATGTGGACCCTGTGGATAAAGAGAGCCAACTATTTATGGGGAACAATGTGATATTAGGCTATATTATGTACAGTGGTACCTCGGTTCACAAATGGTTTTGTTCACAAACAATTTGGTTCGCAAACAAGCATTTGGCAAAATTTGGTTCTTGTTTGCAAACTCTGCATCGGGTGGCAAACCTGACTATGGCCACCTTTCCCACATAAACACAAACGTGGCCATCTTTTCCAGAATTGTAGAACAAATTAAGTTCGTGAAATGAGGTACCTCTGTATATGTACGTTTGTATTATATATAAAATATGTAACATTATGTATAATATATGTACATATATCCATCTCTGTCTATACCTATATATGTTGTGGAATGATTAGAGCAAGCTACTTACTATAGCCATCACCTCACATACTTCTAAAAGTCGAGAGTGGACCAGCAGTTACCAGAGACCTGAGGTGAGAAGTGTAAATGGAGAAAAGAGCCACTTTGGTCAAAGGGTACAAAGTTTCAGTTACACCAGAGGAATAAGTTCCTGAGGTCTTTTGCACAGCATGGTGACTACAGTTAGTGATAACATATATTTCAAAATTGCTAAAAGAGTAGATTTTAAATGTTTTGTCCACGAACTCTACTTAATCTCTTACAAGTAAGAAGTTGAATACTGGTTTAAATATGAAACATTTTAAATCTCAGGAAGAAAAGACGTGAAAACAGACAAAGCTGAAATCCAGATCAGTTTTGTGATGTTAGTGAGCAAAGTGAGAAGTCTAACACAAACCTTCTTGGAAGCAGGCGGGATTTTTGCCTCCCCATCTCCTCTGATGTCTTTAGAGACACAGATGAACTCTTTGCATG